CGGATCACGGCATTCTTATTTCTCCTGCCAAATAAAACTGTTATTGGATGCTACACATCCAATAACTATTTATTATACAATATATAGGTATTTTCTAATATATATACTGTGTACTATATAACCATATATACTGTATATATAATATAATTTTACACAATATAATTTTTTTAATTTGTTATTTTAAACCAACTTGCAATTTAATCTTCTAATTAACTTTACAGTATTTAATATATATATTTTAATTCAATTACAGTGTACAGTATTTATACAGTCAAACTTCTCTGAATGCACGCTTCTAGGGCCGGAGTGTGTGTAATTATGGAAAATCAACTGGCCAATCTGAGAAAGAAAAATATACATACTGTATGATTAACGTTAATTCAATGACGTTCCTAAAATTGAAAGTAGGTGTGCATTTAGAGAGGGCGTAAATTCTATATTTATTGGTCAAATTTTTAATATTACGTATCACGTGCATACATTTTCTCAAAAACTTATGGCACGCGCAGAAAGTAGAGGGTGTTCTAAGTCCCGAGCCTAGAGTGTGCAATTAGAAAGGGAATGCACTTATAGAGAGTATATTAGACAGTATATACAGTATGCTGTATAGTACTGTTTAATTTAATTCACCTTTAATCTTATTTAAAATTTAATTCACCTTTAATCTTATTTAAAATTTAATTCACCTTTAAATTTAATTCACCTTTAATCTTATTTAAAATTCAATTACAAAAAATTTCTAATTAATAAGATTAATAAATAAAATTTTATTCTCAGTTTAAAATATACAGTATAATATATTTTTTAAACAAAGTTTCAAAAAAAAAAACAGTTTAAGGAATCGATATGCCGAATATGCTACATGTATAAGGCCAAATTATTGATAATTGACCGTATATTATACTAGATACAGTATAACAATAAACATTGATACGTACGTTTTTTTTTTTTTTTTGATTATCAAATTCAATACAACAACAACGATTATTTTTATTATCCGGATTATGTACAAGTTTCTGCGTGAGAACGTACGGCTAGTTTTGACAGAATTAGTTTTGAATGCAGGAATGGTTAACGGAATGTAATATCTTTACCGATTTTATTATATACAATATATATGCAGTATACCAAAGCCAAAGATTTGATCTAAAAAGATATCTCGTGTTAAAACAAATGGTATGTGTTACTTAAAATACAAATAAGAATGAGATTTTATAATGCGATAAACAATGCGATTTTCAAATAGATTAAAAAATGCATTGTACATCTTGAAACGTTAATACTTTAATAGCTAAAACCCACGAAAAATTTAGTTTAGAATCTACTTGTTTATCTATTTCTTATTTCAATTGTCTGCTTACTTTGTCTGTCTACTTCTCAGAAAGATTGAATAATCAAAGATGAAAGTTTAGATGACTTTAATGTACTAGTATATTCTTACGTACATACTGTACGATAATCAATGATAATTCAATGTAAATAACACAATAATATCAATTCTCGTTTTTTTCCGAATACTTAAAATAAATTATAGATATTAATATTTGGAAATTACTCACTTCTTGATGTGTTTTCATAATTAACCACAGAAAATGACTAATGTCGATTAATGAAAATAATTGGTTATTTATCGTCGGCGATCCCATCAATTGAATATCAAATATGTACAAGTAAAGATTATTTATATTGGCGGAGTGTAACCAAAATATTAACGTTAAACAAAATTTTATAACAATCCAATAAGGTAACAAAAGATCTATAAATGAGATTAGATATCAGGTTGTTCAATCAGTATCTTTTAAATCGGCCGCAGAATTTAACGATTAACCTTGTTAAGCTACTCATTCCTTTCCCGCTTTTCTTAATTTGTTTAGCATAGATCTCCGAGCACTATCTTTTACCATGATAAATTATTTTGGCATTTTGTGTGATTCTGAATATACTGTGTCCCTGCATTACAGCATTATTCAAAGTTTGCCTTTTTCAAAAAAATTATATATCCGGTAAATTATATTACTTGCTTATAAATTTACTCTTTCACTTTTTTTTCTCGTTAAAAGTATTATCTGTTTTATTATTGTATATTTTTAATTTTTTTATATTCAAAATAATATCAAAATAATATGGAGCGAAACGAAGAAGAGCTACCTGTAGCTACGAGTACTTCTCCTCGCACCAGGCAATCATATAACTCTGGTCGTTCAGTAAACATGTTACTAGGTCTCTCCTCTACAAAGAGTCCAAACTTTGGTTTTGGTCCCCGTTCTCATTTTAGTTCTACAAGTAATTTAGATAATCGTATGTATTTTTTTTCCTTAAAAAGTTTGTGATCTCTTCCTTTACTATATATATATACTCCACGCGACAGTTTCGTCTGTTTCGTTGTAGTAGTTGTTAAATTATTATCTGATCGGACATTATGTATCACAAAGATCATCCTTATTAATCAACGTGATATTTCATGTGACTAAACTACCTTTAATTACTTATTAATTAACCAATTAATCTTGGAATTTCATATTCCATTACTTATAACGTTAGAACAACCATCATATACTGCTTCCCCTTCAAGGATTCGTAATCAAACACTTGCTCTCGGTGATGCTGGTCGAAGGAAGGATTCTCCTCCCGGCGAATTATCCGCTGCTGGTCAAAGCAATTTATCATTACTTCTTCAAACAACCCCCCCTTCACCACCTCAACCAATATCCCATCAAACTAATGCTGCTGATGAGGCCCAAGATCCTGTTCCTCCACCACAAATAAGCGTTACTGCTGCTCCTGATGATTCTCAAAATTTCGAATCTTCTGATCCTAGAAATGAATCCAGACCATTAATTAGCAATCCTACTAATTATGTTTATAATTATGGAAATTTAATTCCTCCTGATGACTTTATGAATATTGAAGATCGTTCTTTTGTTGAAAAAGTTTATGATTGGTTACCTTGCACTGGATATAATGATAGGCGTGAACGATTAAGGCCAAACTTTAGATTTACCCCGGAAAATATTTTCCGCCAGGTAATTCTTAATCCTATCTCTTATATACCTGCTATAATTCTTGGACTTTTGTTGAATCTGCTAGATGCTATATCCTATGGTAATAATTTTTAATAATTTTATCTCAAGATTTGCGTTCCATGTTCAATTAAATAAATATATTAAATTAAAATTTATGTGCAATTATTCTTGAATAGGCTTGATCACCTTCCCACTAAGTAATCCAATATTTCAAAATTTTGGTCCTGATGGGATTTCAATGTTTTTTGTTAGGTAGGTTAATACTATATTATATTTTCTAATATTTTAATTATTTTAATTATTTCAAATATCTTTATAATTTTCTTTTTCTTTATCAATTTATAGTTGCATTGTATCTCAGGTTGTGTATTCTGGAGGTGGAAGCATTTTTGGAGGTGGTAATGGCAGCATGATGATAGAAGGTTTATATATTATATATATATTTTTTCTGTTTTTATTTTTATTTTTATTTATTTTTAGGTCTTTATTTGAGATTCATTTGTCTAATCTAATCTTGTGTTATTTTTTATTATGTGATATTCGTAAATCTACCTAGTCGTGCCATTCTTGCATCTAATGTAAGATTAATTTTATTAGGTTTAAAAACTGATTATAATGAAAAAAAATGAAATTAACATATATTTTGTTTTAAAATAGGGCTGGTATTATTATAAGGACTGTCAATGAAAGTGGACGAGAAGACCAAACCGGTTACATTGTTGCTACTACAATGCTTTCCTTTGCGTTAAGTTCTGTTTTGACTGGTGCCGTGTTTCTGTTAATGGGTGCTTTAAAAGTATGTATTTAATCAATAATTGTATTCTACAATCTTCATAACAAACAATATAACAAACAATATACCAATTAACTTCTTTTTTTTTTAAAAAAAAAAAAATCAGCTTGGTTCTTTGATTGAATTTTTTCCTAGACACATTTTAGTTGGATGCATTGGTATATATTTTTTTTTAAAAAAACTATTTCGCTAATTGCTTGATAGTTAATCATTTTTATTATATTAGGTGGTGTTGGATGGTTTCTTTTCGCAACTGGTATTGAGGTTTCCGTGGGCTTTGAATTAGAATTTTCTTTTGACATTCTTTACAGACTTTTCCTCGAAGGTCACAACTTTGCTTTATGGGGTTCAGCATTAGGCTTGGCTATAATTTTGAGAATAATTCATTCCAAAGTTCATCATAGTCTTGTTGTTCCAATTTATTTTATGATTGTTCCTCTTCTTTTCTATCTCATTATTTTTGTATTCGGTTTCTCATGGGCGCATTTAAGAAAAGAACATTGGGTTTTTGAACTACCAGAAGGTGATGCTCCCTGGTATGATTATGTTACCAAATTTGGTTAGTATTCCATTTTTTATGTTTTATGTTTTATGTTTTAAAAAAAAGGTTATTTAAATTTAAATAGGATTTTAACAGTATAAAACTCTTTTAAAATAGATTTTACCAAAATAGACTTTGGTGCATTGATTCAAACTGTTCCTGCAATGTTTGCTCTTACATTTTTTGGTATATATATAATTTTTAAATTTTTTTGTTCATTAATAGTTTAAATTCATATTATTTAATTAAAGGTTTAATTTTATCTTTACAGGAATTTTACATGTACCGATAAATGTTCCAGCTTTGGGTGTATCACTTAATGAAGATAACGTGAATACTGATCGTGAGTTAATCGCCCATGGTATATCAAACATTGCATCCGGTTTATGTGGCAGTGTTCAAAGTAAGTATTCATTATAATTGTTAACACTTTTATTTAAATCAATTTATATTCTCAAAATTTACTACTTACTTAATATACAGATTATTTGGTATATACCAATTCTGTATTATTTATTAAATCTGGTGGTGATAGTCGCGTTGCTGGATTAATGCTTGCTGCTGGAACTGCTGTTATTCTTTTTATGGGCCCTTGGATTGTTGGTTACATTCCAATAATGGTAGTTGGTGCTCTCATTTTTCATCTTGGTTTAGATTTATTAAAGGAGGCTTTACTCGATACATGGGGAATTGTTAATCGTATGGAATATTTCACTATTGTTGCCATTGTTATTTCCATGGGTACTCTTGGTTTTATTGAAGGAATTTTCTTGGGAATCATTATGGCTTGCATATTTTTTGTGGTCTCGAATTCTCGTAAGAGTGCTATACGTGCTACCTTTTCGGGAACTTCGGCTTCATCTACAGTTAGACGACGTTATCGTCAACAAAAGTTTCTTAAACATGTTGGTAATCAAATTTATGCAATTAAACTTCAAGGTTATCTGTTCTTCGGTACAATTAGTGGTGTGGAAAAAGAAATTCGTAGAATATTAACATTTAGTGAATGGAGAAGGAATCCAATTCGTTTTTTGATTTTAGATTTTAATCTTGTTAATGGTTTGGATTTCAGTGCTGCTGAAGCTTTTTTCAGGATTCAAAGGCTTTTACAAGTTAAAAATGTTTATCTAGCATTTTGTGGTACAACTTATAATTCTGAAGTAGGAAAAGCTCTTAGAGCTATTGGAATGTGGAGAGATGAACCATATAGCCCCAATAACTTTTTATTAATTTACGAAAATTTTAATGAGGCACTTGAACAATGTGAGAATATGTTGCTACAAGCGTATTATGAAAATGCATCTTATCAATTAATTACAAATCAAGATTGTGAGTAAATAGTGTTGTTTTTCTAATCGTTTTATACAATTCATTCATTATTTATTTATAACTTATTTCATTTATCTGTGTTCTTTACAGCTATGAGTTCAATACGACCCATACAGAGCAGATTATCTGACAATATTTTAGATACAGCCTCTCCACGTAAACATAAAATCATGAACGCAGGACAAGAAATATTAAAACGTATAAAAAGTTATTATGTTTGAAGTTTTGATTCTATCAAAAAAAAAACTTGGCATTTTCTAAATATTATTTTTTTATTGAATATATTGAATGATTAAATGCAGCTAAACCTACTTCCAAAAAGAGTTCTAGACCTACAAGTGTTCTTATGGATGCATTCGAAGATATGACGGACAAGAAAGAAGACTTTTTCAATCTTATTGCACCATATTTCCACGAAATACCTGTCCCTTCAGGTGTAATACTTTGGTTTCAAGGAGATACCCCCGATTGTCTTTATCTTGTTGAACGTGGTATACTTCGTGCTACGTGGCGTGCAAAAGAAGGTGATCCTTCTCGACCAGTTGAAAGTATTCTGCCAGGTACTTTGGCCGGTGAACTAGGCTTTTTCACAGGAAGGAAAAGGGATGCAACTTTAGTTACTGATAGTGAATGTATCCTATGGAAAATGGAGAAATCAGATTTTGATAGTTTACTCGCAAAAGATCCAAATACCGCAAACACTTTTATGCGATTGGCTTTAAATTTCTCTGCCGAAAGATTAATTGCGATGACTTATTATGCTTTTCATTTATCACTCTAAAAAAAAAAAAAACAACTATTTATCTTTCCATTCCTTTATAATTGATAATATTTAAATTTAGAAAAAAGGTTTATAAAAAATATTTTAACAAGAATTTCTATAATTAATTAGAATATTAAAAAGAAAATGGGAGATATTACAATTCGTAGAAAAAAAAAAAAAAAAAACTGCCCAGCTATTAAAATTTCAATATTATAATACAGAATAGAAACATTTTCAATAGGATATCAAGCTTGTTTTTTTTAAAGAAAACTTTTTTTTAAAATTCGTAGGTAGCTATAATAAATGGTGTTTGAACACTATTCTACATCATAACATATATAGGTACGTTTATACTCGTTAGTTTGTATAAATATATTTCAACGTACGTACGTTTTTTTGCAAGTTTTTTGATTTTACAAATGTCACCATTATGTGTCTGCAACCTGCTGCAAATATTTTCCGCTGATCTTTCAATGTATGTGCCTATTAAACAAAAATAGAAATTAGCCTCCTTATATCGAATTAAAAAAATCATTTTTGCTGTTAACCGAAGTTTTTCTGTGTCCCAACATTACATGTATAAAAAGTAAGATTCTCACAAATGAGACGGTAAAAAATAAACTTTACGACCTATAACCACCTGAGAATGGAATCTGCTACTAGCTGTGAAAATTTTCCGCATGGAACGTTGTGGTGCTTTGGGACATCAATTGTACAATATTTATACGTACTTTTAAGATCAACGCTATTTTTGCATCATCAACAGTTAAATCCAAAAGATTCATGACTCGATGACCAATAATCAAGCGTTCACAGCGTTATTCAATTCATGTGATTAGATCAATTACAAAATATAAAATGTCAAACGCGTGGATCAGACGCGACGCGTACACATTTAACTTTTAACTTCAAACACAGACACTATACGCTTCGAAAACACACACTAAACGTAGTAATCATAACCGTGTCGCTTTTTTATCAGTCTTAACAGCAATGAGTTCTTACGACAAGGGAGAAGAACTGGAAAGAGGATTTCATTGAATTAGGGTTAGAATTTCATCAACCAAGGTGAGTTTTGCTGAATTGTTATATGCTTGAAGTTACACTGCCACTAGAAGTAAATCAAAGAATTGAAAGCTCATCGTGGCCATGGTTTGTGAATGCTATGAACATTCTTCGATTAATGACTAATAAATGTTCCTGATATTTATAACTGAATGAAATAATTAAGGCGAATAAAATGATTCGAAGAGCATTATGGAATGGTAGATAGATATTGGCACGGTATCAGGGTGACAACTATGGTACAAATACTTATTTTATATACTCTTTATATCTAATGGTAGAGAACCGGGAGACAAGGCATAGATTTTTTTGGTGGATATAGGGAGTTCACGATCCTGGTTCAATCTAAGGTAAATATTGTATTTTTTAAATTAAATAATGTAAGTCAAAAATTCAAAGCTTATGTCATTTTACAATCTTATAGAATTACATAAGAGCTAGCCCGAAATTTATATGTAAACTCGAAGGTGTTTTATCAAGATATAATTGTCTAACAACAATTGGTGTCATTATAGCACCAAAAAAAGCAAGCTTTACCAAAAAGGCATTAAGAAGAGCCAGATCTTCAAAATTTATAATTATTCTTACAGATAAACCAGAATTTTTCTCAGATTTGAATTGCATCATTGATTCCCAGGCATCGGTTGGGCTTCTCAGATCTCAAACCGCTATTTTCATGGTTTATTTTTATTTTGTTATTGTATTGTTAATGTTATTATATATTTTATTTCAAACCTTGCAAGATATAGGTGAAAAGATCTTTTGTATTGCTTTAGAAAAGCAAAATATAGTTATTTATTTTTTATTAAACATAATTGGATAATTTGTGGGATATGATAAATTGTTGCCATCAATAAATGTGGGTAGAAATAATTTTAACAGATGGAAAACAATTATAATTGATGTATTAAACACAGTATAAATTAACCATATTTGAATATTTTTTAACTCTTAATATAATATATATTTAATAAAACTAGAAGTTAGACATGTTCAAATATTTGTATTTAAACTGTATATTTTTAAGCAATTTTTATTAGTGTTGGGATTTGTTTAATTAAATATCTGGATATCTGTAAATAGTATGGATATTCGAATATTAAATTTTGCTTATTGATACTAAATTTGAATAACAAAATATAAACTTTTTAATTTACTGTAATAAGAATAAAATTATTAGTCAGTGCTTTCTAATTGGCTATTATCTGGATATTCATAATATTTACAAATATCAGGATAGCTATTTTTGAGTATAGATATTTGTTAATAAATATTTAAATAAATACAAATATTCTATTTGAATTGCTGTTTTTGAATATAAATAACTCCCGAATTGATATCTAAATTCTAATACTAATTTTTATAGAACTCTAGTATTATCATCAAAAAATTCTTCACATAATTATTAACTAATAGCAAATTACAATTCTGAATATTTCTTTGTCAAAAATTATTTATTTCTCAAAGGTTTGTATAAAAAACCACTTTTGTGTATTAATAAAAAGGTTTTCTTAAGCAGTTTTATTATATTGTTATTTAAACCCAAACCATCTAAAAAATTTTGTTGTTGGTTATGTAATTAACTTTGATAGCAATACTAGAAACAAGAACATAAAAAGATTAAATTACAATTAATCAATTTTTATTAGATATTATATTAAAGTATTTCTATTTGTATACTTCTTTGATAGTAATTACTAGAATTTAATAATTACAAAAATTCAATCTAATTTAATAATAATTATAGCTATATATAAAATCAATTTTTTTTATATATAACTTATTTTTTGGATAATAATAAAAGTTGTTTACTATAATGATTTGTATATATTTAGAGTTAGATCCTGTAGCCTAGTGGTTTATATGTCTAACCCTTTATAGACGAGGTTGACAGTTCAATTATAGCTAGTGGTAATTAATTTAATTCATTATCTCTATAACCTTTGAAGGCTTTTGAATATAAAACCCTGTGGCTATAAGACCATGTAATATATATATTTGGCCTATAAAGAATTCTTGGAAGGAGCCTAAGCTATAAAGAAGATTAGACACTATGTGTGATATGAGTCACAAAAGGTTTACTGCAGAAGGCTGTGCATGTAAATCCACAATTGGCAAGATAGCACCAATAACCCTAAAGCGGTATTGGAATCTTGATTGAAAGGACAGCTATATATAGTATATCCAGAAGTGACAAGAGAAGTAGTGAACATAGTAAGAGACTGTGATAAAGGGATGGCTTTACCAAATATAGAACACCTTTAGTGCAAAGAAACAAGAAAAACCAGCTAAAATAAATTCTGAAAAGCATAGAAACAAGCAATCTAGTAATACAAAAATAAAGATAGCTAGTGAGTAATATATTGTACAATCTATATAAAAGTTAATGACAAAATATAGCAAAAGTATAGGTCCTTAGTTACTGGCTTGTAATAGTGATTAAATGAGATACATAACTCCTGTTCTAAGAATCTAGACTTTTGTAACATTATACCAATAGAGAGTATATAAAAGAAGCAGTAGCCTAATTTGGTAGTATACAACATGAATACCTGGATTAATATAAAATAACTCTTCTATCATGTGGCTTGAAATATAGGTCTTATAATGATAGCAGCACCTAGCTTGAGATATGGATTTAGTGTTTCTATGAACCAAACTAAAACCAAACTTTGGTCAAGTTCAGGTTCAGGTTCAGTTCAATCATGTTCAATATTGACCCTTCAAGTGAGGTTCATGTTCAGTTCAGTTCAGTATTGAACTTTTAAGTCAAGTTCATGTTCAGTTCAGGTTCAGT